CTCTTTGTTTCAGTTTCCTTTGGTCACACACACACATGTATATATATATATATATATATATATATATATATATATATATATATATATATATATATATATATATATACATATATATATATATATATATATATATATATATATATATATATATATATATACTTACATATTTATTTGCTTATTTGCTCAGCAGCCATTTATTCCACTGCAGGTCATTTGGCAGTACCACCCTTGCCTGATTGGATGCCCTTCTTAATCATCAGAGGTTCAACGCGCTACCACTTATGTCACGGCGGCGACTTCCCCTACGACACCTGCGGTTGATTTCTCAAGGTGATGTGTCGTTTTCTCACCATGGGTTCATATATATATATATATATATATATATATATATATATATATATATATATATATATATATATATGTATATACATATATATATATATATATATATATATATATATATATATATATATATATATATATATATATATACATATATATATATATATATATATATATATATATATATATATATATATATATATATATATATATATATATATAGGAAGAGGAAAAGACTCAGATGGAGAGAGACGGGAGGGTGAAAGAGAACGAGAGAGAGAGAGAGAGAGAAGAGAGAGAGAGAGAGAGAGAGAGAGAGAGAGAGAGAGAGAGAGAGAGAGAGAGAGAGAGAGAGAGAGAGAGAGAGAGAGAGAGAGAGAGAGAGACGAGTAGAGAAAGAGTGAAAAATGAAGTGTAAGAGGGATAGAAAGAGGAAAAGTGAAATAAGGAGAGAAGGCGAGACACAGTGAGTGAGAAAAAAGACTCAAGAGAAATGGATAGAGTGAGAAAGGAAGAGAAAGAGGGATAGAGAAAGAGAATGAGTTAGGGAGAGGAAGAGAAATAGAGCGAGAAAATAAGTTAGGGAGAGAAAGTGAAAGAGAGAGAGAGAGAATGAGTTAAGGAGTGTGAGAGGAATAGTGAGAGAGAATGAGAAAGGGAGAGAAAGAAAAATATAGAGAGAGAAAGAGTGAGAAAGGGTTATAACGATATACTCCTAGAGAATTTCCTTGTTCTTCATTAATACATCTAATACAAACTATAAAGCGTAAGCCTTTGACATAGAATATACATAAAAAGTCATTTGTAAGCTGAGTGTTGTTTTGGCATACATCTGTTTATCTATCTATATCTAATCTATTTCCTCGTACATATATCTACTTACCTATCTATCTTTCTTTCTGTTTATATATCTATTTTTCTATGTCTGTCTATCTATCAGTCTCTCTGACTATCTATCTATCTGTATACCTTCCCATTTATTTACTATGTCTATAAGCTATATAGAACTGAAAATTTAAACTGTAACAGGTTTGAGTGAAGTGAATCTTCTTTAGATCAAAACAAACACATCCATTTTCACGCGCAAATGCAAACAGATAGAGAAGGGTATACTCCAATATATATGCATGCATCTAAATGCAATTCAAATGTATTGACATTATGCGTTATAGCAGATAGAAAAAAAAAAATACATTACATTTTTTCACATTCTAGAAATAAGGAACCCAAAATAAAATGAAACAATCGATAACGTTGCATGTGAGGCCTGCTCTTGCCAGTGTTAACGGTAAATGAACTCTGGCAGTTGTCAGCCAATGTCAATGTCTAATCTCTTTCACAGTCTGCCAGAGGAATAACATCCTTAAATACTTTCGTAGCTCGGAGGAAATATTCCGTATGACACGCATATCCCCAAAGAACCCTTCGTGAACCTTGTATCGACCGGAACAAAGGGGTAGAAATTGGAAGAAGGAAGCTGCAACATCGGAAACCCTGGTCGACCGCCTGGCCAAAGGGAGCCGGAGGAAGCGGCGGCAGTGGTCGCTTTCGTCTCATCCGCTTCGCAAGGGCATCCGGCCTCCTTCGCGGTCGTCACGGAGAGGATTTCCAACAGAGAAAAGTGGTCAGGTGGATGCACTTCCTATGGCTGTTGAATAAAATAACATGCGATTTTGGGGTGGCTTGAATTTTGATACATAGAAAAATCTTGCTCTTTGGAATATATATGTAATAGAAACAAGAGAAAACAAGTTTAATAAGAAGTTACAGCCAAGGATATAGAGAAAGAACTAGCATCTTTGAACGTCGCCGAAACATACTGAGAGACTAATTCAAGTTATAGCTTTACACGTATAAAGCTTCCAAGAATAAACTCTTATCCAAATAACTTTTTAGCTGTACTAATACCAACTACACCATTATCAATCAAGTCATCTTCTCGTTGTGAAAAGAAAAGAAAAGAAAAATAATGAATCGACCACGTAACTCCCTGTTATCAACTGCTTTGCTCTTCAGTGTGTTATTATCCACACGAACAGCGCTCATTGAGACGGCACGCGAGGAAAGACTAGTAAATGGACCAGAGAAACAGATCCTTTTCACCACCGCCTTCGAGGAAAGGCCAGCCGAAAGGATTCCTGACGTGCTTGACGAAGTATCTCAACGCGAGGAAATACTAGAGCAGAATTACGGTGCGTTCAAGGAGAACGGGCAGGGTGTGTACGAACCCGTTGAACATGCACACAAAAAAACAGGTAGGGAAAGTGCTACGTCATGGTTTATATGCCGTTTTTGTTGGTTTTGAATAGGGAAGATGTTGTGGAGTTTTGTACATATTATTGTGTATATCTTTGTTAAGTTTGTGGTGAACCGTAGTCGAACAAAATTACCAGACACAAGATAAGTTAATTAAGGAGACATATATAGTCATTTTATATCTATTTTTTAGCCATTGTAAACTGTTTAAACATATATCATATTCGTCAATGTCTCTTTATATTCAGGACCCCCCCCTCGCTTTCGTGTGAGGCGTGACGACCTTAGCTCTCCAGCGCCCGAAGCACCTGGCTCCTCTGTCCGTCGTCAGCAGGGAAGACTTACCTGGTTGTATCAAGTCCCTGGTTATCAGCACAGTCCACATCTTTCTAGTATCCCTCTCCCGAGTGTCCAGATATCCGTCCCTTATATCTCTGTTAGTGGGAATAGTGATATTAGGACAGGGACTCCTTATATTCCTCCTCCAGGATATCCTATATTGGTTCAGGGTCCTTCCAGACATCCGGCATTAAATCATTACCCGCACTTCCTTCAAGGACATCGCCAACACCATCACGAAGTCATCTGTGAGAGTGAAGAAGAGTTAGAAGAATCTGTAGCACCAAATGTAAGGAGATCTGGCGTCTCTTCCTCTACCACTACTTTATCGTCTTCTCCTGTTCTTCCCGTTCCATCAGTCTCCCCAGCATCTTTAGTGACCCCGACGTCTCTTTTCCGATCAGCTTTATCTCCCTCGGTTCCAGTATCTTCATCGGCTCCGTCTTCTGTTTCTTCTTTATCGTTTTCTCCTTCGTCATCCGATTCCTCTTCGTCCTTTTCTGATCTTCCGTTATCCGATTCCACCTCGTTCTCTTCTCCACCTTCCTCCGCTTCCACCTCGTTCTCTTCTCCACCTTCCTCCGCTTCCACCTCGTTCTCTTCTCCACCTTCATCCGATTCCACCTCGTTCTCTTCTCCACCTTCATCCGATTCTTTCTCTTCTGTTCCGTTGTCCGACTCCCCGATATCTTTCTCTCCTCTTTCCTCTCCCTCGCCATCTCTCCCCACGTCTGTAACTCCGACCAACTCCTCCCTTTCCTCTCTCTCCCACCCGACACAAGATGACGAAATCCGCTTTGTCTTCCCTAGCGATAAAGTCGCCTCTCCCGACAACATCATCTACCCTTCTAGCACCGACCGACCGATAATTTTCCCGACTCATTCTCCTGTCTCCATTACTCAGCCCTCGCCGACTTCCGTACCCGCTAATAACGTCACCGTGCCTGTGAACGAGACGGATATCAGAGTGAGTATCGTTGCCCCTAGCCGACCTTGCACGAGGATATGTGAATACGCTGCAGCCGAGGGTGTGTGTTTAAGAGACTACTCGTGCCTCAGCAGACTCAATTCGCTTCGTATTGGTAATTCGACTCAACGAAGCACAGAGAAACCCTAAAGATCGATTGTTGGTTGATTGTTAGTGAGTGCCTATTCGACGAAGGAAAGTAGGGTTTCGTGTCTCGTTTAATTTCTTTCTCCGCTTATAACATGCAGTGGTTGTGTTTACATAATGTACTGCATGAGAGAGATCCTGTTTTGTTTTTTTTTGACATCACTGCCATAATTTATCATATTTTGCTTTGAGTAACATTTCCTCTCTCTACCAATCCTTCATCTATGTGTGAACATGGGATAACTGGTTTATCAAGGTTAAACACTGTTTTGTGATGGATTTGTATTAGAAAATAGCAGGCTATGAAATTATCAACCTCTTGTTTACTGACAATAACTACACTGATATTTACAAAAAAAAATCATAAACTTACTGAAATACGACCATTCCTAAGATCATAAACAGACTTGCATAGTCCAGTGTGGACAGAAGTGGCAATTCACAGAATCAGACAAAGACGAACATTTGTTGATATTTGTGGGTAGACGATGAATTCGCAAAAAATCTTAAACAAATAAAAGGTTACATAAGAAAGTGACATTGGAATATGAAATTAAGAAGAATGAAGTGACAGAAAGGAGTGGCCAATTAAACATAGGAAACATCTACTGTTAATCATAAGAAAAGAGCATTTGATAAGTATCTTTTGATTATATATGAAAATTATACCGATATTGGTAGCAAATATAACAAGTGTTATAACAAGTAAACAGGATACTGAATGTAAAATGAGATAACAGGTGCCTCTGATTAAAGTGAATGTTTTATAATGGGCAAATAGATAACATGTTTAAAAGATACATTTTTTTTTTCTTACATCAAGAGCATACTGTACTTGTTCATGGTTAGCACTAGTGAATTGAATTATGCATGAGGCCGATTATGATGGATTATGTTGCTTCATCTTTTTTATGTGTAAACGCTTGGCCCAATAAATTTGTTATACCAAAACAAATATTCTTTCTCTTCATTTTTCTCTGCCTCTATCTATCTGTTTGTCTCTCTCTCTCTCTCTCTCTCTCTCTCTCTCTCTCTCTCTCTCTCTCTCTCTCTCTCTCTCTCTCTCTCTCTCTCTCTCTCTCTCTCTTTCGCTCTCCCTTTCCTTCTTTATTTCTCCCTCCATGTTGATACGAACCTTTTAAATATAATTCATGTAAAAAGAACTGATATATTCATAATGGTAAGGCATATTAACAACAGGATTAGCATTAATGACGGGCTGTACTAATTGCGATGTTGCTGTTAGTAATAGTAACGGAATCAGAAGGACGATAATACAGATATTTGCAATAATGTCGATAATTATGATAATTAAATTCCTGTCCCCAATGAGCTGGGATAATCAGCGGGAAACTTGTAAGGTAACATCCGAGGCGAGAAAACAACGGGGAAACTTTTCCTTTTTTTCTATACGCACTTTCGTTTTATCTCTCTGTATCTCTGTATGTCAGTCTGTCTGTTTTTCTCTATTTCTCTCTCTCTCTCTCTCTCTCTCTCTCTCTCTCTCTCTCTCTCTCTCTCTCTCTCTCTCTCTTTTCCTTTTTTTCTATACGTACTCATGTTTCACACTTTCGTTTTATCTCTTTGTATCTCTGTTTGTCAGTCTGTCTGTCTTTCTCACTTTCTGCCATAATATGAACTGAAAACGAAATCACCGTTTACAACTCGTCAAAAAAACTACGTGTTTGTGGCATGCCTGCCAATGACGTCATCGCTGTTTGCCTTTGCCAGGGATCATAATCTTGGGGGAATTATGAAGAAAATGACGATGAAATGTAGACAGTGAATGTTTTCGTGTCGACAGGCCTCAAGAAAAGTGATAACGATAATAACGATTGGGGAAAATACATAATGATCAGAATAACGCTATTCAAAGTAGTGATATTGATAAAAATAGTGATAATGGAAGTGATGATAACTGCAATAGCAAAAATAACAATGATAATAAAAGTCATAATGATGACCGATTATAACAATGGTAATGACTTGCAGTAGTGTAACAGTATCACTGACAGCAACAGCAACGGTAGCGGTAACGGTAACATCAACAACAATACACAGGGCAACCTTGTATACCGTAATTCGAGAAGTTCCAGAGGCAAGGTACCTATCGGTCATGGTCAGCATTCAGTGAGACATATGTGATAGGAGGCAAGTGAGTTGGTCATAGCCAAGGTCTAAATAAGTAAGGTTAGCACACATCAGCCTTCCTGTGGTGTGTGATGCAGCGGTAGCGTCCTCGTCTAGCAATCTTGCTGACACGCGTTCAATACCTGCGTACTGGCAGTGGATGGTAACCCCGGCTATGCCTTGCACACAGGGGGTAATTTAGAAGCAAAATGAAAAAAAGATAACTATTGTAACAAAAGGAACATAAGTTAATAAATAAGTAAATAATTATTTTATTCGCACATGCACAAGAATGTTACTCAACAATAAAATAACACAAACTTTTCACAATAATCATGATGATATTGATAAAAATAATCAATAATAACGACAATGATGATAATGATGATGATAATAATAATGATAACAGTTATATTATCGTTATTACTATTATTATTATTATTATTACTATTATTATTATTATTATTATTATTATTATTATTATTATTATTGTTGTTGTTGTTGTTGTTATTTTGTTGTTACTATTATTATTATTAATATTATTAATATTATTATTATTATTATTATTATTATTATTGTTATTATTATTATTATTATTATTATTATTATTATTATTATTATTATTATTATTATTATTGATGGTAATGGTAATGATATTGATACTGATAATGATAATGGTGATTATAATTATCATCACTTATTATTGTTATGATTATAGTGATGAGGATAATGATAATGATTATGATGATGGCAGAGATAAGAATAATGATAATGATAATGTTAATGATGATAATAACAAAAACAATAACAATAATAATAGTGATAATGATAATAGTGATTGTAATAATGATTATAATAACAGTGGTAATAATGATAATAATAATAATGGTAATAATGATAATAATAATAATAATGGTAATAATGATAATAATAATAGTAATAATACTGATAATAATAACAATAATAACAATAACAATAATGATGATAATGAAAATAATCATAATATTAATGATAATAAGAATGATAATATTAATAATAATAACAATAATAATAATAATAATAATAATAGTAATAATAATAATAATAATAATAATAATAATAATAATAATTATAATAATGATAATAGTAATAGTAATAATAATAGTAATAATGATAATGATAATAATGATAATAATTGCAATGATAATAAAAATTCACGACGATGATGAGGATAATATTATTGGTGATAATAATGATAATAAGATAATAATAATAGAAATGATAGTAATAAAATATGATAACAATAATTATATTACTAATATAGATAATAAGGATAATGAAGATAATGATACTACTATTGTTACTGCTGCTGCTAATGGTAATGATAACAATAAAAATGATAACAAGAACAACATGACAACAGTAGTAATGATAATGATGATAATGGTAATCATAATGAATAGGATAATAAAATAAAATAGGATAAGAATGATCATGATAATAATAATAATGATGATAAGAATAATGATAATGATAATGATAATAAGGATGACGAGAAGTATAATGATAACAGCAGCAATGACAGTAAAAATAATATTAACAAAGATGATGATAAGGATAATGATAATGAAAATGATGATAAGAATAATAATGGTAAGAATAATGACAACAACAACAATAACAACAACAACAACAACAACAATAATAATGATAATAATGATTATAGTAATAAAATGATAGGAATAATAATAGTAATAATAATAATAATAATAATAATAATAATAATAATAATAATAATAATAATAATAATAATAATAATAATGATAATAATAATAATAATAATAATGATAATAACAATAATAATAATAATAATAATAATAATAATAATGTTAATAATAATAACTATAGTAATAATAATAATAACAACAGTAACAGTCATAATAATAATAATAGCAATAAATATGATAACAAAAGTAATAACAATAACAGCAATAATGGCAATGATAACCCTGTTTTCTCGTGAAGGTGAACAGTTCATTTGACTTTCGTTTTCGCGAGTCATGTGACTTAATCTCACAAATTTCTTTATTGTGTATTATCTCTCGTCTTATTTTCTTGTTATATATTAATTTCCTCTTCGTTATGAGGCTTAAATGATTGATTTGTTTATATTATTCTAACGGGATTGTTGCTAGAGATAAAGAAATTGCAAAATTGATCTTATGAATGCAATTGATCTACTCAGCATTTCAAATGGTTGTTTGGTTTTTCTCTACTCCTCTCATTCCTCTTTTTATCAGTTTCTTACGGGATTTTCTATATCATAATTAATCTTATTAGGTAGATATGTGTATCCATTGTTTAAAGACCATTTATAATGCACAAAGGTCCTTAATCTTTGCTACTAATATCTTCTATATTTCCGTCGTTTTATTTATTATTTTTTCCCAAGCACCCTCGGCGTTTTCGTCTAAATTTAAAATGACTCAAAAAAGAAGAAGGAGAAGAAAAAGGAAAAAAAGAAACACTTCTTTCCTGGTATTTTCGTCAAAATCCGAAATGACTTTTTTTTTCACAACAGAAGTCACTTCGCTCTCTCTTTCTTCTTCTTCTTCTTCTTCTTCTTCTTCTTCTTCTTCTTCTTTTCCCAAAATTCCCAATCTTCTCTTTTTTTTCATATGATTTTGCACATTTTCTCCAATTCTGCTTTTCCTTCCGTCATGCCTTTATTATCTCATTTTCTCTTATTATCTGCTTCTTGTTGCTTAGTTGTTACCTGGTGTCCTTACGGAATGACTAATAAAATTTTCTTTGTTATTCTCCATCTGATGAACCGTTTGTTTTACCTCCTCTTTTTACGTCTGTAATAATCTTGCCTACTTTTAATATCATTATTATCATCATTATTATTATTATTATTCTTTTATTGTTATTATCAATATTATTATTATCATTATATTATTATTATTATCATTATTATTACTATTATCATTATCATTATTATTTATTATTATTATTATTGTTATCATTATCATTATTACTACCTTTGTTGTTATTGTTATTGTCAGCGTTATCATTATTACTGTTACTTTTATTATTATTATTATCACTATTATTATTATTATTATTATCATTATCATTATTACGATCTGTATTATTGTCATTATTATTAATAATAATATTATTATTCTTACCATTGTTATTACTATCATTGCTATTATTATCGTTATCCTTATTATCCTTATTATCATTCATCTTTGTGGATGTTTCGGTTTTCAGTAAAATGCATAAAATATACCAGCAACACACACACACACACACACACACACACACACACACACACACACACACACACACACACACACACACACACGGACACACAAATCAGTAATGCAAGGTGACAGATATTTACGTATCATTTCCTCGTGTGGAATCATGGATCATAATACTAATGATAATGATAATAGTATGATAACTATTATGATAATAACAACGGTACTACTACTACTACTAGTATTAATAATCTGTATGATAGTAATATAAGGAAGACGATAATAGTGGTAATAATCAAAACAACAACAATAATGATGATGATAGTAATAACGAGGATAATGATAACAATAACAATAATAATGATAATGGTAGTAGTAGTAGTTCTATTAATAATAATAGTTATAACAGCAACAATGATAATGATGATAATGATAGTGATAATGATATTGATAACGACATTAATAATGATAATAATAATGATAATGAACATACGATCGGCAAAAGGACTTGTGATATTTCCCATCCCTAAAAAATCACCTTTGTATCAGACATCTGAAAAATGACGTC